GCCTTGAAACAGAAATGACAGATGAACAATCCCACTTATGAGAAGCAAAAATTGACTCCTGGTATGACTTCTACAAAGTTGTACACAGCAGGTTTCATTCCATTCACATAAAGATGTATGGACTCATGCTACTGAGGAAGGAGACAACTGTTGAACACAGAGTGAAGAGGGATCTTCTCTCCAGAATCTAGTATAAAGATCTGAATGCAAAGCACAAAACAACACAACAGCATGATGAATCTTGCAAATATAATGAGTGAAAGAAGCCAGACCCAGAAATGTACATACAGTATGACTCACAAAGTTCAAAAACAAATGAAACTAATCTCAAGTGTTAGAAATCAGATAGCAAGAGGTGGAGATAGTGTACTGGGGCTTCTGGTTCTCTTTAAGAACCTGTGTGTCAGTTACCAAAATGCGCTTACTTCCTCTAAGTCCATCAAACCTTTAAGCTTACATGTAAGCTGTACAGAGGCTCTAACTCTAAAGGTCCGAACCAAATGAGCTTTCTAAATGGCACAGGTAAGTCTATGCCAAGAACTATCCTCTGGCTCCAAAAGAAAGTAGCACTGCTGCTTACCAAAAAAGCCAAATGTCTATCTCAACATTGTCTTTTAAGTGGTCACTCCACCAGCTCACATCACTACAGCACCTTACCCTGCTCTCATTTCTTCACAGCACTTGTCACTAGTTGAACTTATTTGTTTGCTTGTTAATTTTCTCTGTCTCTCCATGGTATTTTAAACTGCATGAGAACAGGGACCTGTCTTTACCCTATATCCACAGCCTAGATGGCAGTATGCTCAATAAAAACTTGTCAAATGACCACAACTACCCAGGTAATTTACTTTAGGGTCACCAAGTACACATAAGATCAAGTCAGTACCAATAAATCAGTAAGTCCAATGCAACAGCAAATACAAAATAAATTATTACTTCACTTCTGGATAAGAGTAATCTTTAAAACTGTACCAGCTTTTGTACCAGCTTTGAGGGTGACAGGTTTGATAAGCTTTGATGCGTTGGAAGACAGAAGTAATTTTTCGATGTATTTTACAGGGAACTGTTATGAAAGACAAACGCTACAATAAAACCAGCGGGACCTGGGGAGCAGAACCACTCTTAAGGAATACCAGGAAATGCAGGTTAACAGGCCTGGCTCTGCTCCCAGGGTAGTTACCTAACTCCTTTCCTTTAAGCAAATTTTCCCATCTGAAAAGTATCACAGGATGAGGTGTTTTTTAAACTTCTAGCAAAGATCATAACCATGATCATAACCATGATTCTGAATTTGAGGAGGGAGGAAAAATCAAACATTAGAATTTCCAAGAATCATGGAGTTATTGAATAAACACAAAACCACTGTTTCTTTAACCCTTCAATTCATATCCTGAGTACCAACTTTTAAAAAGACTGCTACTTTAGATATCACACTGGAAAGAGATAGTATTTCTTACCCACCCACCTGCCATCTTACATACATACCCTATCTTCTACCTTGAAAACCTTGGAATATATATAGCGGCATGGTGGGGAAGCAACCTTCCAATCTCCTATCCCTCCCCCTCCATGATCAAAGGCTAAAAATCATAACCAGCAAGGGTTAGAAAATGAGACAGTATAGCTGAAAAAGTAAATGTATCAATGACCCAAATAAAATTGATAACAGATCTAAAATATAGATCTCGACTACCCACTGAGCCTCAAAGTAGCCTATTAAGTGTCCTTCCTTCATTGTGGTTCTTAGGACCTTCTAACTTTCATTTCACCTGCTTTAAGTTGTTCCAAAGAGAAAACTCATCTTATTCTAAATTTCCTTCACAATTCCACCTGCACAATTAACACATCTGATGCTGAGGCAGGTGTTCAGCCTGGAGGTTAAGCCACTGGATTGGGATGTCCACATCCCAGAGTGCCTGGACTCAAGTCCCAGCTCCTGATAAAGTGCACCCTGGGAAGCAGCAGATGATGGCTCAAGTACTTGAGTCCTAGCCACCCACGTGGGAGACCCAGATGGAGCTTCCAGCTCCTGGCTTTGGGCCAGCCCAACCCATCACTGTGGGCATTTGGAGAGCGATCTAGGAGATGGGAGCAAGTGTGTACATGCTCTCTGTGTAAATAAATTCAACAAATAATTATATATCTGATGCACATGGCAACAGTGATGAAAAGCTGGCAGGTGATTTTGTAGAAACCAATTGTCATTGTCCATAAGAAATAGGAGGGAGGGGACCCTTCTAACTGGCCAAGCCAAACTGTTCCAAACTTCTACAGCACCTATCTATAGCTCCAGTAGCATGTCTGTAATTGAATTAATGAGCATCTGGGTACATGTCCCACCAACCTTTTGATACTCCCTCATTCCCAATGTCTTCAGTACTATCTCTCACATCCTAGGAACTTAATAAATGTTGTTTGAATGAATGGCAGTCTTTTTCTCATCACACTGAGGAATATCAACTTTATCTTCAAAGGGCAAATACAGTTCTGTGTCCTACTGGACTACCACTAATTCAGCACAGGTCTCCTTGATTGACTGGTAGACGATGAGACAACAGTAACAAAAATGGCCACAATTTCCTAAATAACCACCAGCTAGCCAACTAGCCAAGGCTACCAGAAATATAAAAACAAGCAGTAAAACCAATTTCTGTGACAGTCAACACATTATTCTAAAATCACAAATTTTGCCCATTACCCAATATCCCAAACCCAGTATTATCATGTCTTTTACTGACATCAATAAAGTCTGATCACTACTACCCAAAACAGAAAATGTCAAGTTCATACCAAGACTTTGAAATACCAAAAAAGAAAAAAAAAAAAAGAAAGAAAGAAAAAGAAAATTACAAGGCAAAGGCCCAAGCAGAAAACATAGCAATAAGCAGTACCAGAGTACTTAGCCAACACCATACTGGATAGGACAGAATGAAAATCTGTCAAATGCACTTCTCCACATAAAGCCCATTTATAACATAAGAAAACCAAAATGTTACTCGCGTTCTGGTCACTAATAACTTCTACATAGAACTGAAAACAGCAAAATATATGTACTGGCAGTAACCAAAATGAAACCAATTTGGTCAGGTGAGAGTATTATAAATATAAGTCCTCAGATCTGTGTTCAAATCCTACCCAATAACAGACATCAAAGTTACACAACAACTCTTGAAGATAGTAAGTTAGGTGGATTATCCTATTCGTGAACCCTCCAAAATATTCTTCTTAAAAATCTAATGGTTTAATAATGTTAATTTACTGTCATCTGTGGCTCCGAAAGAAGTTTAAGCATATATGTTATTTTTAAAGTCAAAGCCTTCCCCATGTTTCCAAAAAGTTGATGAGTCAGGTTTTTTAAAAATACATGTAGAAACTGAAACGCATTTCGTTACAATTATTCCCAGCATTAAATCAGATATGAACTCTTGGAATTCGGTTTAAGTTTCTCTTCATCAATAAGGTTTTCAAGTTCTTCTGAGTTTCCTAGTCATTTACTTGAACATCATCTACAGTAACACTCAAAGCAAAACCACAATAAAGAGGTTTGGCCTCTGAGGGATTCTACACGTAAAAAAAAAAAAAAAAAAAACATTACTCATAGATGCTACACAATCATCATTGCTTTAAATAACAAATACATTTCTAAACTTTCATGCCATTCGATGGAATTCCCACTTTTGAAGACAGCAAAACAAAACCTACAAAGCCACGAACACAAAAATTTGACATGCGTTTACTTTAAAAACTACTTATGGGGGAAATATTTGTAGTTCTTGGGTATTTTTATTCAAAGGTCCCATTATTTAGAGTTAGTGGAATTCACAGAACTCTTCTACCAGTAATGAGAGCAATTAATCTCAGAGTTACATTCCTTCAGGTTGCCCAATATCCTATTTAATACCAGATATAAATGAAGCAACGAAACCTTAACAGGATACATTCATTTCGCCAAGAGAACAATGTTCAGCTGGACATGCAGGGTACTACTACACAGTCACAGAGGAATGCCACCAATTCAAGCCCAGAAGACCTGTGGAAGGAGACTAGGAGACTCAAAGAAATCAATTCTTAGTCCCCAAGAACTTCTATTCACCAAGCACTCACTCTCACTCTCGCACCTTCAATGTCAGTCCATCAAATGCGACCAACAGTTTAACTTCAACTCTAACACTACTGAAACAAATTCCAGATAGAAGTTAAAAGATGACCAACAGACCACAAAGCCAGTCTTGACATTCTCTCCAAGTGTATCTAAATGTCCAATCTAAAGTTGCTGAACTCGTTTTGATAACACCTGCAGTTTACCACCTCATCGAAATGGAAAGGAATTCTTTCAACATTCTTTATTATAATGAAGGTTTAAACACAGACTTCAACAGTCACTCTTCACCATTCTGCAAAATCGGTGTAAGCTCATCAAAAACAAATAAACAGTCTCAAAACAACCACCACCACGGGGGGAAAAAAACTGAACAGCTCAGCCAAAAAAAAAGAAAAAAATGCACTTTCCTTATCAAACCCCAACAGTCATTTTCAAGTGCAAGAAAGTAACAGACATTTGCAGCTCCCTACCAGAAAAGCTCAATCAGCCTTATTGTACTACCACCACCACCAAACTGCTCAGAGAAAAATAACTTAGGGCAAGCAAAGCAAAGCCACTCCGCACATGGCAAAAATAAATAAAAAGGTTCCTGTCCCAAATCCGCAGCCATGGTGCCGCTCTCTCCTCTCCTTCCAAGCCAATGGACACAAGTGTCAAATAGATGCAGGCTGTGTGAAGTTAAGCTGGGAAAAACTCCCTCCCATAAATCATTCGGGCAACACGAGGCAATGCACCCACACGAAATACACGGAACCCACACCACCGCATCAGCCACCCCCAAAGGCAACGAAGGCCGCAATCAACAAGTTGGAAAGAGGGCAGCAAAGTCCGGCTCAGGACCCTGTCCCCGCACCGCGGGCCGAGTCCGTCAACAAAGGTAACACAGAGCGGCAGGTACCTGGTGGAGGTGCCTTTCCTCACGTCGCAGATGCTGCATTTGAAGGCTTCAGCGCTGTTTCGGAAGGTGCAGACGCTACAATCCCAAAAGCCCTCATCGGCGGCAGGTTTCGCTTGTCTTTTCGGCCTTCGGAGGAGTCGGGAGCCGGGGGAAGGGGAGGGAAGAGACCGAGAGCAGGGAAAAAGAGGGAGAGACAGCAAAAACACAGGCGCTGTGAGCCGCCGTAATTTCGCAGGAATCCGGCGCTGGAAACTTCGCCCGCGCGACCACCCACCCACCCCCCTTCCCGGGAACTGGAAGGGCGAGCGAGTGAGCGAGCGAGCGAGCAGGCTGGCGGGCACGGGAACCGGGCGGGCACGGGAACCGGGCGCCCCCGCCGGCCGCGGCGGCCGCGGGCCGGGCCGGATCGCCTCGCGCTCGCCAGGCGGCGGCGGCGCCCCGGGAAGGGCCGCGGCGGGCGCAGGAAGCGGGCGGACTTGTGGACCCGAGCGCGGGGCTGGGGGGGCCGCGAGGGGAGCCGCGGGCCGGATCTGGAGGGGGCGCGCAGGGGCAGCCCGAGGCCGGCGGCGGGGAGTGGGCCGGCTCCTTCCCGCTCCCCTCCCCTGCTCGCGCCCTCCCTCCCTCCCCACCTGGTTAAATCTCCCTTTGTCTGGGAGGAGCGGCGGCGGCGGCGGCGGCGGCGGCGGCGGCGGCGGCTGAGGAGGGCGGCTGAGGAGGAGCCGCCATGGCTGCGGCGCGCACGGCCGCCGGCCCCGGGCAGGAGCGACACCGCCTCCCGCCGCCGCCGCCCGCCGCTGCCGCCGCCGCCTCCCCGCCCCCGGATCTCCATCTTAGCAGCGCCTCCCCCCGCCCGGTGGCTCCGGGGCCTAGTCGTCGCCGGCCCCCGCCCGCCCCCAGCCCGCCCTCCCCTTCCGCCCCTCGGCTCCGAGCAGGTACCTGGTCGGGCTCTTCTTGTCGCCCATGGTCATGGATGGGCTGTACCCCCGCCCCCCCCAAGCCGAAACCCGCGCCGCTCGGAGGAGAAACGCCGTCCGGGGAGTCGTCGCGGAACGGCCCCCCTCCCTCCCCCGCGCCCGCCCTCCCTCAGCCGCTGGGGCTCGAGCTCCGGCCGCTGCCGCCGCCGCCGCCGCCGCCGCCGCCAGTCTCCGGACGAGACTAGTCCCCGCCAGCGCCGCCTCCGCCGAGTGACTGACGAGGGGCGGGGCCGGGCGCCGCGCGTCACGCGCCTGGCGGCCAATGGCAGGGCGGCGGCCGGGGCCGCGAGGGCGGGGGCGGGGCGCGGGGGAGGGCGGGGCGTGGCGGACGTGGGCCGGGCCGTCGGTGTGCGTGCCCGGGAGTGTGTGCGCGCTGGGGGCGCGCGTGCCTGCCGCTGGCCCCGCGGCCCGGCGCGGCGGAGCGTGCGAGCTCGGCGGGGCGCACGTGGCCGCGCCCGGGCGCCGGCAACGGGCTTCGGGGCCCCGCGCGGCCGCCCGGTGCGGCTGTCGCGCGGCCCTGGGCCCCGCAGCCGCTCCGGGGAAGTAGTTCCAGGCAGTTTGCGCGCGCGGTGGGGGTTGGCCACAGCCGCGCCGCCCGCAGCGCCTCGAGGCTTGCTGCGCCCCGGGAGACCGCGGGGCTTCGCTGAGCCCGCGGGCCCCCCCTGCGCCCTTGTGTTCCTCTGCCACGCGGAGCTTTGTAGCTGCCTCTCCGGGAGTCCCTGCCCCCCCCCCACGCCGAGACGCTAGCCCGCAGCCCTCCGGGGCCCCCGCTGCGGGAGGGAACTCTGCAGAAAGGGTGTGGCGTAATTCACTGCCCGGGGCTGGCCGCGGAGCTCTGACTTCTCGGACCCCCGGGCGCCTAAATAAGGCGTTTCCCTAGGGAAGTTGCTATTGAAATCGTGGCGACCTCAGGCCAGCCTTCTAACCTTGTGTCTCCAAAATGAGGCTAATAACCCTTCTCCTTAGAGACAGATGCGTGGAAAGCGCGCAGTGAGATCCTGGCACTTGGGCAGGCACTGGGTAGGGAGCGGGTATGGCTAGGCCCTGGCTGTGCTTCCCCGCGCTGGGAGATGTTTGAAGAACAGGTAGTACCCATCAGTTTCTGCCCCACTTCCAAGAATGCTTGCCAAATTGACTTGAACGGGAGTCACGTCACGGGTCCTCTTACCCCTCGGGCCCTGGGGGAGGCATGGCAGGGGGAGGACCCTGGCTGATAAGAAAAGAGGCACAGATGGGGGATGGGACAGGGCTATAGCTGATGCCAGACCTAGGGAGATGGGAATGGGGTGTGGAGGAAAGATAAGACAGGTCAGCTGTCCTCAGCACTGGCCCTGGAAGGGAAGCAGGGGCACAGGGGACAGGAGAGCCCGCAGGGAGCAGAAAGTCCCTGGAGAGCTCAAAGGCTCCCAACAGAGAGAATAAAGGAGGGAGGGACTGTGTCCTCGATAAGCTCAATCAGCACATCACGTTCTCTCCAGGCCGGCACACCCTGGAGGGCCCAAGGAGCAACAGTTTAGCAAGGGGCAGCAGCAGCCTCCAGGGCTGGCCCGGCTGCCTCCCTTAGGAGGGGACGGAGGGTAGGAGGAAGAAGAGAGAGCCGAGAAGTGAAGGGCCAAGCTCGCTAGCCATGGCCTCCCGTGCCTGCCTGGCATGCTTCCAGGACTCTGCCCCTGGCGTGAAGGTTGCGCATGAAAAGGGACATTAAGAAATGCCAGCTGGAAGAGTGACCTCAGGGGAGGGAACTTGGGTAGAAGGGAGCCACAGGTAGCGACCAGCAGGCTGACTTTACCAGTACCATCTATGTAGAGGGAAATACACAGATTGTCATTAGCAGCTCTGTGCCTGGACCCACCATCCAGACCAAAGCAGAGCATTTTCATCTTGTAAGGCCACTGCAAAACACTCCAAACACTGGAGTAAAGGAAGAGGTTTATTGGGGAAAACCCGACAGGGATGAGGCGAAGAAGGAAAGAAAGAGAGAAAGAGAGAAAGGAGAGTGTAAGGAGAGACAGAGAGACAAATATTAACCAACAAGTCCTGTTAAACCTTTGAGGAGGGCTTCGAAGTAGCAGCAATGAATCCCTTTAGGGTGGGGGTGGAGCTGACACCGGTGCTTGGGCCACGTGGCCACCTGGCTTCCAGCAATGGCAGTGGCAGGGGGCTAGAGCCCAGGATCATGTCCAGGGCATAGATCGCACCACAGATAAGATGAGCCATTTCACTAACACCAGTGAATCACCAGTGAATCACCAGTCCCCCTACTCCCCACTCACTGTTCCAGCTTCTGTCCTCAACGTTCAGTTTTGCCTGTTCATAAATGTCATATGCAGGGGTCCCCGGGGATGCACTCTTGTGTTGGGATGGCACCTTTTGCTCAACACAGTATCTGGAATCTTCATCCACATTGTCACCTACATCAGTTTTTGTTCGTTTAAGCATGTAGAATTGCACTGCATGTAACAGCGTATTTATCCGTAGGAAATGGACTTCTTTGACTATGTCTTTTTGTATCTTTGCATAGTGTTGCCTATTCCAAAAAAAGAAATGATTTTAAAAATTATTTTAAGAAAAAAGAAGTTCCGGAATGGAGAAGTAATTTCTAGGAACTTCTCAGAACCACAGCTTATCAGGTGTGTGTGGCCGTGGGTGCTCTCATAGTGTTCAGATGTACGAGGTTAGCATCCGCTGGAAGTCTAGGAAGTTACAGGAACCACGTGGCACCACTTCTGGAGCAGCGAGCTCTAGAAGGGAATGGCTCAGGCACCATGATCTGGAGTGGGTAGGTGGCAGCCTGAGCCAAGTAGGGAGCAGACCATCCCTCGAGGTGTTGGCCTTGGTCCCCGTGGGGCGTGAGGCGTGAGGGAACAGGTGACAGCTGGCAACCCCTTGCTGCTCCTCGGTTTCCTGTCTTAAACAGACTGCATGTTTCATTTGAAGGAAGGAAGCACTACTTGAAACCCATGGTTTTGAGAGTAGAGGCTATTAAGAAACCCTCCCCCAGAAATGCCTGCTGTAAATGATTCCACAGGTAGATAGGACCTATGAGAAGACTGTGTGTGGAGTCTGTTTGCCACATTGAGTTCCCTGCCGCTGCCCCCCCCCCCCCACTGGCTGCTCTGCTGTCCCTGGAGCAGTTTGCTATCTTCAGGCCTCAGGGCCTTTGCATTTGCTCTTCCCTCGGCCGGGAAGGCTCTCCCCAGATTTGCGTACTGCCAGCTGCTCGCTTCCTTCATGCATTTCCTAGAAGTCACAGCCTAAGCATTTCACATGCCAGCCCACACTGTCCTTATGTCTCTGTGCCCCTCTCCTGCTGTGCTGAGCACAGATCACCATCTCCATAGCTTGCAGTTCACTCACCATGAGCTCCATAATGCAAGGATTTATTTTTCTGTGACCCCCGTTAGGCTCCAGTGCCCAGAACAGTGCCTGGCATCCATGTGTTGAAGATACTGATTTTTCCGTTTAACAATAATGTCTTAAGGTGCCGTGCCCATGCCAGAGACTGGAAGACCAGGTACACAAAAGGGGCTTCATGCCTGGCCTTTTGGAGTTTACATTCTAGGTGAAAAACCAGACCCTGTGCAAATAATTAATTACCATGTGCCAATCGCTATAAAGGCGCCATACAAGAAGCAAGGTGAGCGGGTATTAAAGCAGGGAGCAGGTTCCTGCAGCTGGTGGAGGAGGGACTTCCCTAAAAAAGTGAGGGTTGCCTGGGAGAAAACAAGGCGAGAGCATCCCAGGCACTGGGGAGGCAGAAGGCAGGCAGCCGTGGCTGGAGTCCCCCGAGAGAGGAACTGTGAGGCTGGAAAGGCAGATGCTGGCTGGATCTCATAGGGCAAGGTAGGCAGGCTTGCGAGTGAGGTCTCATCCTGAATACGGTGGAAGCCACTGACGGATTTACTGAGAATGTTGGTCTACCTGGGGTATCTGAATGAATGGGGTGCTGGGGGAGAGGCCCACTCCGGGGGGAGGGGAGGCACTGCAAGAACAGTCAAAGTGGCCTGTGAGCTGCTCCAGGAAGGCAGGTTGGGTGAGCAGCTCTCCTTTCTTTAGCTCAAGAAAGAAGGGAAAGCCATTAGCCTGTGCCAGAGAAAAAGGCTGGAAAGTTACCAACTCAGCTTCCTCCTACCTTTAAATACACAGGTGCTCCTCCCAGCCAGGAAACCCAAGCGCTCCCTAAGCCTAGGACTTTGAACCTCAGAAATACCCATGGAAGTGTGGTAAACCACGTGGGAGGGAAAAGCATTTCTCCCTACACTTCTGGGCTCACCCCGCCCCACTCGTGATGCCTTATGTCCGGAGTCCCAGCTGTGGGCTAGGGTGAGGCTTTCCCCAGTCTGCGAGGAAATGAGAAAAATAATGGGTCAAGTCCAAGTAAATCAATCACTCAAGGTCAGTTCTTGGGAAGAACACTTTTTTCCCCCTGAGATTCTCTCCTTCCAATTTTTTCTTTTCTTGGAGGACTGGGTAATTTAAATGTCCCGTCTCTAATGAACAGATCACAGCTGGAAATGGCATTTGAGCTTCCTGATATGTCTTCTATTGGCCAAATCACCAGTGGGCAGTTCCAGGTTGCTTCTGCAACCCTCTCTCCTCCCTAGCTCTATCCCTGAAGTTTTCAGGGTAGCAAGATGTAAATAATCTTAATGAAATGTTCGAGCCAGTGCGAGTGAGGGGAAGTGGAAGAAGACAGGATCCCTGGGTGACTGAAGCTGGGAAGGTTAAGGTTCCATTCCTAATTGCTAAGAATTCTTGCTCTGCTTTGCAAGGAACATTCTGTAGGTGGCTTCAGAGAGAAAATGCATATCCTGGCGTATCTTAGGAACCAGGAAGAACCTAGAGCATGCCCCTTAAAGACAGCGCTCCA